GTGTGTGTGAGTGTGTATGTGTGTGTGTGTGTGTGTGTGTCGGAATGTGTGTGTGTGTGTGTGTGTGTGTGTGTGTGTGTGTGTGTGGGGTTAATGGGTGATAACATCTGGATTTTTCCCACATTAGTGAAAATGGAAAAAAAAAAAACAGCTCCTGCTGAAGTATATCAACTGAGAACAATGGAGTAAATTTCCCAGAAAGCGGAACCTGAAGGGACCCGTTTGCTGCCCTTATAAAGCCCGATCCAAGAAAAATAGGAAGAATATTGGATTTTTTTTAGTCTGAAGTCTTTCTTTGGCCCCTCAACAACATATGAAGAAAAAAAACAGAAATTATTTTGATCAAATTAGCGTGCAATAAATCAAAAACGTAGTTTGGTGTAGTCTTCTACTGGCTGTTATCAGGTATATCTGAATGTGTACAACAGGGGTTTGAGCAAAGCTTTTACCACTGAATGATGCAGAAAGTCTCAGATCCAAAAGACTTCAGAAACTGGATCAGATATGACACATTTGGCATTATAGGGTTAAAGACTAAGATGACCACATGAAAACACAACATTACTATTCAAAGAGGACTGTTAACTGAATCTTTTTAACGGACTTTAGTTCAAGAAAACAGTTAGGAAATATTACGATTCAAAGAGGACTGTCATTTGACTACTTTTAATGGACTTTAGTTCAAGAAAACAGTTAGGAAATATTACGATTCAATGAGGACTGTCATCTGACTACTTTTATTGGAAAACAGTTAACCCTTTAAAGCCTGATCCAAGAACATTTTTTATATTTTTTTATGTGTTTGTTTGCCGCTTTAACACAATATGAAATAAAATAAACAGAAATAACTTTTGAATATTAATAATTTATTACCATGTAATAAGTTTAAATCATTGTTCAATCCTCTTTACGCTGTTATCAGGTCTATCTGTACACCTGATGCAAAACGGTTCAGAAAATAAGAGTCTCTAATGTGATACATATGGCATTATAGGGTTAAGTAATAAAGATAAGAGGATAAGAAAAGGACAAGAAAAGTTGCCTTGGGGTTTTATCTACCCGGATATATCACACTGAGAGATTTTGCCAAATTTGGGAGTGGGGGAATTATTCTGATATAGATAAGACTTTCTGCTGATTCAGAAAAAGTTGAATAAAACATCGTAAATAATTGTGGGCTACTACTATGGATTGAGACGTGCGAAGCCAATTCGTTACATAACACATACCTACACACAACTTCACCCCTGGGGCTACGGATCGCAACACAAAACGGGCCAAAAAACACCCCGGCTGATACACAAAAGTCATCCTAAGGCTGAAGGAGAATAGAGGACTGGGGATGAGCCAACGTGGGTTAGGTCGACCCTTAAATCCACATTTCCTGACCACAGACGTGTGCCCAGAGGTAAAATAGCTGCCAGGCTTTTCCTAATGCAGTGTTTTTCAACCTTTTTTGAGCCAAGGTACATTTTTTCATTGAAATAATCACGAGGCACACTACCAACCCAAAATGTCAAACAAATCTGTAGCCAACTATAATAACACTATACTGTAGTTCTTCTTATCTTATCAAGTAATCGACATTTCGTTGTCAAGATTCACCTTGTGTTTTTTGTACAATGACAATAAAAGAAGTCTAAGTCTAAGTCTAAGTCTTATCTTAAGTGTCTTGAATAGGAATCAAATAAACACAAAAATTTATTTTTATCATATTTTATATTTCGTCTTTCAAATTGCACTTAACATGTCCACTTCAATATACAAAATTATATACAAAATCTAGTCATAAGGAATTATTACATGATTACGCCACCAGTCACTAGTACAGCACAGACACTCAAAAATGGAATATTATTTGCAGAATAATTAATTCCTTATCAAAAAATCTTTTTAGACCAATTAGGTGAAATAGGATGATTTTCTACGGCACAGTGGTTGAAAAACACTGATCTAATGTGTGAGGATCTGAGTTGTTTTGATCCGGGTCTGGCACAGACAGCAGCAGCTGCTGGAGTAAAGGTTCTTAAGAGTAAAAAAAAACAAAAACCGTCCGGGATTGTTCACAGATCCGGGTCAAAGTGGGAAAACTCCACAGGAAAGGTAAAGGTTTACTCACA